GCCATTTTGTCTTCACGAAGTAAAGACATGTTTCTTTTCTTTTTATCTACTGAACACTTCTTCCAACAATGTACTAGCCGAATTACACTTATGCTAGAAATTTTATCAAACAAAACTGCTTAATCATGACAAATATTCACTGCAAAATTGGAAAAAAGTGCACAATACCATACTCCTTACGCGTTTTTCAAAATAACACATACACATAAACCATGTACACGCCGACTTATTTTTACTTAAAAAAACATCCCAGAATTGCACAAAAATGGCATTGTGCACTTTTTGGCACACTTTTTTCTCATAAATTAGAAAAATTTCACGAAAATACATGACAATTTTCTCAATCTTTAAACCCGGTAAAAAGAACATATATGAAATTACCTAATAATGAAAAAGTATATACCCTTTCCAAATATGAACATTTCCACATATAAAATAAATAAAATATCCAAAAACTTTTACCTCTAAATCATCTATTATATTATAAACGTCACCAACGAATTCATACCGCAACCATTACAAATACTTAGTGTCAGATATTTAAATTATTTCCATGCACGTTTACTTCAACTAAAACGTATACCAAATTCCTACAAACATAAAATTCACAAAATAACTATCATTTCATTAAAATATAATTAAATTCAAAAACACTACTTAAAATATAAATGAGCACATACATTAAATTAATAAAAATTACCTTACAATCCTAATTACTTTAAACTAAATCTTTGCTAATAACAATTTTTCCCAATAATAACAATTTTCCCAATAATACCAAATTCCTTTCCACCTTACATTTAGAACAATGCATAAAAATAATATCCTCAAATAATTAAAAATACTAACTTATCTAATCTTCTTCAGAATCTTGATTACGTGTCCAATAAACTTTTCTTCTTTCTGTTTCAGAATCTTTAAAATCATACTTATATTTCACAGCAAGGTACCAGGTAAAATAAATAACTTAATAAAACATCGTTATTTCTATCTCCCACAACCTTAAACAAACATTTATTACTACCCTTTTCAATACCACTAAATACCCATTTCGAATTCACTTTAGTTACGGCCATGGGATCCAAAAATTAACCAACACTGTTTCACACAACACAGAATAAAGCCAAATACAAAATTTCCAGATTTTTTCCCGATTTCGCCCCTTTTCCGTTTAAAGAACCGTAATTCGTCCATTAATATCACATGACATATCCCATGATCTCTCATTTCCCTCACACAAAATAATGCGTAATCGGAACTGAGTACTGCTCACATTATTACCAAAGTCCCAGGTAGTAACCTTTATCGCCTCCAAAATGTCGCCAAACTACCAGTTACCATATTGTAAAGATCAACCTTAATTTTTTATTATTTTGCAATATTCAATCCCGAATTTATTATTGCAAGGTGGGAGGATGAACAATATTTTGACTCTTAATATTTTTTGTTTACATTTTTTTCTAACTGCAGCTTCTGAGTAATATTGCACGAGCTTCAAGCAGATGTAATAATTTTCTTTACGCTATAGGGTTTCTTTTTTATTCATATTATTATCTATGTTTTGTACAGCTTATGTTTCAGAGAATGGCAATATATACTATCTTCTTTTTAAAGAGTTAGTGTAACTTTGTTTTTTTCTCATTTTAGAGTGTGAATAAAAGAACTATTTAATTATTGTAGAGTCATAAATAACTAAAGAGATATAGATAAAGATAGTTATTTCTGAGTAATAAATAGTTTTTAAGGTAACATATTTGGTGAGAATTTTTGAATCACCACCTTATAGCATATTATCATACACACATTTTGAAATTTGAATCTGTATTTTTATTTTTTTCTACAGCACCAATATATAATACATATAACTGAATCGGGGAGAAAAACGATTTTCTTTTTGTGTTCAAAAATAAAATAAGTTGTATCGCTCATAATAGTTATTAAAAAATATTTCTTATTGTTAAAATGTAATTTTATTTTGAAATTGTACAATTCTACTACTATTTATATTTAACAAAATTTTTATTTTCTTATTTATTACACTAACTAAAGGCATTACCAAACATATTTATTTTTTTTCCCTCTCTGTTGAATGTTAAATATTCAATAACTGAATCTCCAGTATTTGCTGATTACTATAAAGCACTATTACATAAAATGTATTTTACCTTTGCACAAATAAAATAATCATATGCTAGTTTTTGAGTTTCATGGCCTGAATGCACCCTTTCACTCTGTTTCTACTTATCACTTAAGATAGTAAGAGATAAGTGATAAAGTTACCTGCTTCAGGGGACTGTCATTGATGAGGATGGCAGGCTGCAGCACTGTTCATCATACGACATTTTGCCTACCTTGAGAAAAATTCAAACACCAACAATCTGCTTGAGCATCACATCTGGTCCATACAGTTACCCAAAGTGATGATGGATTTCAACTCAAGCAACCTTCAAACACTTTATCACACACATTTTTTGCCATTTTTTTCTTTTTTTCAGTACGATGAATTACACAATTTGACAATTACCAAATGAAGAAGAGGCTACAATAAGATTCCTTCAGGACAAAGGAATAATTCACAGCAATAAGCTACGTTCTGAGAATCATCCGATGAAGTTAACTTTTAACTCAAACTAAGCTCCTATATGTCGTTACGTATGGTTCTTGCCGTAGGAAAAAAAAGTACTGAATTTTGCTAACTTCAACTAGAAATCAACAACAATAGATTGGAATAGCTACTTCTTTCTTTCACAAAAAGAAAAACTTTGGACATGTTCTTCTGAAACAATGAGTATTCAGGGGTTTATGCCAGGAAGGCACAGAATGTTTTCTAGTTGCTGTTTCCGATTATTGTGCTACAACTTTGATGACAGTAATTCAGGAAAACATCATGGATGACAGCATTATATCTCCGAAAAGAGCTGGAAAGGATACAGAAAAGAGAAATTAAAAAATGCTGGGTATGAACATTTCACTGTGAATCACAGTTATAATTTTGTAGATTCCGAAACTGGATGTCATATTCAAACTGTGGGGTGATTGTGGGGTAGTGCTAAATGGAGAAATAAACATCAGCTAGGCAGTGCTCGCAATCATTTCAAACGATATTTGATAGAATTTATACGTCGTCGATTATATTCAAAAACAAACTTTTTCTGCAGTATTGAATATTTGTAATTTTATGCTACCTGTTTAGATTTAATTTCTTTTTTTTTTTTTAAATTTACATGTAGAATATTGTAGATTAAAAAATTAAAAAGAACAATTTACTTTCTTTAGGAATACATTTATATGTGAACAGCTTTTTTTTTTCACACTTGAAAATTAATAAGAAAAAAAACCAAACTGATAGATGAGCATTCACAATGAAGATAACTTTTAGTAATTTCTTTCCAAGGATACAAACTTTATCAGAATCAAAATGTAATCATGTGTCACATTACAGTAAGAAACAAAGAAGTTTATAATTATAACATATGTGTTTCGATTTACGTGTTAAAAAAGTTTAACAATTAAGAGAAAGAGATTAAATAGCTTTTTTATTGTTTTGTCACACTTCGTAATTTTTTTCCGAAAAAATAGCAAGTTTTTCATAATTTCTTAAATTTTAATTGAAATTAAAGTAAGTTTTATTATTGTTTATATACGTTTATATTTGCATAAACGATAAGTTATATAACATATAATTTATAAAATTAATAACCAAAATTTAAATTTATTAAAATATTATTATCTTGTTAACAAATTTTTCATTTTGTTAAAAAAAAAAAATTTCGACTCATGACCTGCTTTCGAACTGCACATTAAGCCCATAGGCAATTTGAGACCACTTATGTAAGCTGTACCAAGATTTCAATATTTTGAATATAATATCTCTAATCACCTGATATCTTAAATCTGCTAACAGTATAAGACCATACATTTTCTCCAAAATAATAATAAAAAAAAATTCAAAAATATTAAGAGGTTAATAAACACATCAAAAAATTGCAACAACGTTATTTTAATAACCTGATAATTAAAAGTCCTCAAGGACAAAGAAACAAGCTGTTGTTTACAATGTGAAAGAAACTTGCATGACTGATATATTCAAAGCACTAAGCAAACCACTTTCAGGCAAATAATTGAATAAGAGACAAACATTTTAGCTATTATGACTCCGAACAGAGGGGGTAACGGAAGGTGTGGGATGCAAATGCAAACCCCCAAATTTTTTTTGTATAAAAAAATTTACAAAAACTAAAGGTGAGATTATTTTAATTATATATATATTATTATTTTGAGAATTTCGTTACCAAAGGAAGTCTTTTTTATTCTCTTTTATTGGAAGATATCGCATATGCCTGCTTACACCTCTTATCATTAAACAGTGGATGCAGAGTTAGTGTAGAATAATCCGATTCGATAATATTAATCATTATTAAAGAATTGCATACTGATATATTTTGTCGCGGACTTCACCAACCTTAGTCTTTCGAGACGGCGTTTACTTAACGCCTGCAGAGTACCTTTTTTTCGTGAATTTCGCGCCGGCTTGGTTATTAAAATTGCAATAAATTGATGCACACTTATGCATGTATAACGTACGTAATTGTGTGTATACACACACGCACATACATAAATACACATGTGCATACATTACATACATTTCTAAATCCAATCCCGATAATAGAAAGACTTACTTTTCAAATGATAATGTTTCATTTTTTAAGACTATACATGCGTCTGAAATTTCAACAACTTAATATAGGTTCTTTTTATATATTAGGTGACACATAAACGTTCATGACGTTCTGATGCAACAAATGATGAATCTAACATCTCGGGCAAAAATAACATAACCTTGCACGTGTTTTTACAACGTACGTCAATTATTTTTTTACTGTATTAAAAGTGCCTCATTCATACAATCAATTGCATAATCATTATATATATCGGAATTAGCAGTATCATAATTACGTCACGGATAGTTCATATTTTATTGACAAAGTCAAATAACTTACTATCTCTTAAATTTTGTTTAAACTTTGGATCACTCCTCCTTTTCCTGTCGAAATAAATGCAGTAGCCAATGAACAATGTTCCACATACTCCTGCAGCAACATAAGCAGTTTTAGATAACATTTCTGAATTTAAAAGGTAAAAAAAGTTACATCCAAAATACAAACCACACCACGAATGATGAATAACTGGTCATACGAATCAAAAGGAGTAGAAGTGGATAATTTAACAAGCGCCTGGCCCCAGCCACCACCCCAAGCTCTTATTGGACACGACTTCTGATGTCATACAGTGACGAAAAGAATTCTCTGCAGCATTTTTGTGCGCCAAAAGCTTGAGCTCGAGATCATTTTAGCGCTGAAACAGGGGAAGCATGGGCCACGATGGAATAATTTGCCATATTTGCGAAAAAATTACAAAATAAAAAGCAGCTTCAGAAATATATTGTTAATGTACATAATATTAGAAAAAAGGTGTACAATTCGATGTGCAGTCGATAACCGTTTAGCAGTATTTTTGGTCATTAGACGAATATCGAAGTCATTTGACAATAAACACTTTTTTATAAGATATAAAAGTTAAGAAACAAAACAATAATACATAAAAAAAAGAATGATAACTCCAATTGATAAAGTCAAATAAACGATATTATAAGTATTTTTCGATTTAAAAGTATCTTATCACTTTACCTTATTTTTAACCATAAATGAGGAGAAATTAATGCCTAGGATTTGAAAGTAAAAAATTAATCTGACTAACGAACAATTTTGATACCAAACAATCTCTATATAACAAGCAATAAATGAAAGGAAGATTATTTAATTATCAAACAGTTCATTTTTATAAAGAAAGAACTAAATTTTACATTTATATCACTTTTAAAAACACTTTTCTGTAAAATAAACCGCTAATTCATGAAAACTGCGGCAGACATTATTTACACAGTAAGAGTTAAGTGCTATTTCTTGACATTGCTGACGAAGCAAATCTTGTTAATGGTCTCCTTTTATATGAAATTATAAAATACATTTCTTAAATATCAGTATAGCGCTATGAATTGCATTGAATACAGATTGCTTAGCCAAACACTATTTACGCATTATAAAGTTTTATCTATTCCATTAACATGATTAAACAATTTATATAAAAAGTGCCGATATATTTTCTTATACTGTTAGGTTCGTTTTAATTGCAAATATTCTGTTACATTGCACAAATTCACATTAACACAGGAGAGAACCAAATCCAAAGTAGTTATAAGTTCCCCTTGACATAACTCAAACGAAACAGATAATGGAATCTTTCAGCCTGACGTCATAAACGGCAACCAATAAGAACAGGGGTGGTGGCTGGGGCCAGGCGCTTGTGATAATTTACGCTACAATCCTTTTCGCTTCGATTTATTTTACAGAAGAGCATCCAGCTTGCAATACTATAAATCACAATATTAAATTGAATTTAATTTCTTATAATTTAAACACATCTAAGAAGAAACATGTTAAAAAGAACACTAAAAATAACATTTATGTAAACTGATTCAGTCTATAGCATATCACAAGTTAAAAAAGTTTTCTGTCAAATATAAGCACATTTTTATGCCCCTCAAATTGCCCATTATTGAGCAACTTTTCAGTTAAATATACTCAAATATTAAAGCATTAACGACGTATACATTAATACATATTGTTACGAATTTGGTATTTAAAAAGCTAATGTTAGTTCAATTACAAATTAAATGGTTTTATTTCTCGCGCAGTGCAGCGCGTGACGAATATTAAAAGAAAGCTAAGCCGTAATTATTACGTAATGTAAATAATTGTAAATAGTATAAGACCATGGTCCTTTTTGTTTTTAAATGTATATTTGATTTGATTTGTATTTAGTATTTGTTTTGTATTTAGTATTTGATAGCATTTGATTTAAGTTAGTTATTGCATTTATTGTTCATGTTGTTTGATATTGTGATGTAATGTTTATGCCTCAGTTGCATTTATGCCACAGTTGTAAGTTTAGCTTCCTGTCCAGGGATTGTACTGCCCGGGACGTGCAGTCCTTGGGAAGGGGGCAGTGTTACGAATTTGGTATTTAAAAAGCTAATGTTAGTTCAATTACAAATTAAATGGTTTTATTTCTCGCGCAGTGCAGCGCGTGACGAATATTAAAAGAAAGCTAAGCCGGAAAATTGAAAATACAAGAGCGCGTGCATTAAATAAATAAATATCTCTTTTGATTTCGAGAAAGTACTGGAAAATTCTAGCGCGTGATTTTAAAATCTTATAAAAGGAGGAAAACATCTCAGTTTGTGGTAGTTGCTTAGTTTGTTGTTGTTTAGAAAACTGCTCTTGTTGATTGTAGCGAATTCGCGGATTAGCGTTCTTTAGCTGTTTTGAATTACGTTCTATTGGACATTTGAGTAGTTAAAAGATAAATACTGTGAGATATTGTAATACTGCATGATAATTTGAGAAAATTTAAGCATTTTTGTTGTGATAATAAAAAATTTTTGTTCACTTTTCATCGGACTTATGCATTCATTTCATAACAAACCCGTACGCACGCAACAATATTCTAAAATGAAATTGTTACTGCACGTTAATTTAAACTTGTCTTTTGAGCTGATCTTGGATACAGATATACTGCATGTTCAAGCCTGGATTGAGCCACGATATTAAGGCCAGTTTTCTATTAGACACCCTCAGCATCACAATCTTAAAAATGAGAGCATCGCCTCTATTTCATGAAAATATGATTATGGGGAAGTATAAGAAGATACACAGAAGTCCCTAAAACCTGCGGCTTTAGCTCTAGGCCTTGTGATCTTTGGCGGTAATTAGGATCTAGACATGAAATCCTAGCTGCTCAGCCAAAGAACGTCTATGTATATATATATTATTTGACTCACCGTCTATTCAGGCATTCTAAAACAGTATCGAAATCTTATTTAGATATTTAGATTAATATACAATGAATACACAATAGTAATTACCGCAGTTTACAGAAAGGTACAGTGCTTACATCTTCTGTATTATACCTTTGTACCATAGGAAGAGTTTTAATTCCGATTATTTAAGAAAGGAAAAGCCCTCTAGAGCTGTCATATAAAATGGTGGAATATTTTCTAAAGGAATTTTCCAATTTATCTGACTTTTGTATGATAAAAATGGAGAAAAAGGACGAAGTAAAAGAATAATATTTAAATCTGTACACCCTTCTCAAATTTTGATCAACTCACATTGCTAAACCAAAATCAGAATAAAAGATGTTATGTTAGGCGAAAAAGACAAGACTTGATTAAACATTTAGGGGTCTAGTCTAGACATCAGTCGAGATCGGTATCGGAAAACCAATCGGAAATCTCCTTCCACTCGACAGCAAACGGGAGAACGAGTCTCACCCCTTCAGATTCCGTTGGCGGAAAATGAAGTGGAAATTCCGTGCGGAAGTGCCGTTTATTGCATACCAACCAATCTATCTCATCTCTACATTGCTCGATGCTCAGGGGAAGGAGTAGCAAACAATTTCCAATGCGAAGGTTGTCAAAACCCAATTACTGCCTTTTTTCGCTAGAAATAGCACCTGTCCACGAAAAACAGGATTTTGCTCTATAAATCAATGATAAGGCCAATTCTGAAATATGCTAGCCCGGTTTGGGGCGCAGCAGCAATTACTAACAGGAAACATATCCAAATTTTTCAGAACATTATGCTACGGCAAATTTATAAAGCTCCATGGTTTGTTACGAACGAGGGCATTCATAATGCAGCCAAAATTCTCCCCATAAATCGCTTTATGCAGCGACTTTCGGGTAACATTTTCCAAAAGATTCCTTCAATCGGAAACCCCGTACTCCACAGCCTCCTTGTTTATCATCCGGGAATTGCATCGTCAGAAAAGAGACCCAGAGATATTCTGGAGAACTCATATAATGTGCTTCCTTTTCCCAAGAGGCGTTGCTATGAAGACGAGTCGCCTCGAAGGTTTCAATACACTCGTTCGCCTCCCCCTGCCTGAGTGAATTCGCTGATCTTTCACCTTCCCTCAGGGTCACTCTCTTTTGTCCCGTAATCGGGCAATCTTACTTCTTTCAACTGTAAGCGGTTGTTATCAGGCTCTAAGCACATCTTTGTTCCCTTCTTAAAAGGGTTCTAGTGCAAGGATTACTTAATTTAAATTTAATCTCTTTAAGAGAACTTAATGCTTTTTCATTAGTTATCATAACACTTAAAGTTAATGCAATCTTATTATATTTATAAAAGTTTCTCCTCAGAGGCATTGCAGGCCGTGTCTCTTTAATTCAAACCCGCCTAACTAGTTCCCGCTTTTCCCCTTCCCCAGACCCGAAGCATTTAATGATTCTGCGAATGAAGTTTTTCGCGAGTGTTCCCGCTCTCGTGTTGTTAACACTAAAAAAGTATTTCTTAAAAAATACATAACCTAAAAAGGTATTTCTAAAAATAGAGAGAAAACAAATAGCAGAGCAAAAATACGATGCTTTTATTGGAATTACAAACTACAGTCAAAAGTCTTTAATCCGGACTCGTCGGGACTTCGGCGAATCCGGATTATCGATTTTTCCGGATTATAGATCATCAGTTTAAATCTGGTAAGATGGCATGCAGAAATTATAAAATTAAAAATATGAAACCGTAATTTATAAAATAATGAGCAATTATGATCTAAAGGGTATCGAAATTTACAAAAAAAGAAGCTTAATATTTATTTGTTTACTTTATTAAACATTTCTTTCAACGCGCGCGTGCGTAAAGCATACCTTACGCATAGCCGAAATTAGAAAATTGCATCCAGAAAACTATTTGATTTGTATTCGTGATGTTTATAATGACGAGGAATTTGATTTAAATCATATCAAAGACGGAGTACATCGAGATTAAATACTGCATTTAGTAAGGAATTATAAGCCGAATAAAATAAAAACATCTGCCCTAAAGATAACGATAGTGCTGACAGATCAACTTCCAGTTTATTGCGCGCCGCCGCGACGTCCCCACCCCGCGCAGAGCAGAGTGAAATTGATAAACAGATTTCGGAACCGTTAGATAAACAAAGGATATGCCATTATCCATTTTTATAGCAATTCGTTTTTTGTTTGATGGACATCGAAGCATACTTTCGTTTTCTAGATCCTTTGGGAGCTCCAGCATCGGAAAATCTATTTGACATAATCGAAAGTTCAAGCTTACTTTTATAAAATTGCTCTTACAGTCTGCAAAAAATAATAAGCCGGATCCAA